ACTTGGTCGACTTAGTCGATCAGGGGTCGGCTAAGTCGACTTAGTCGATTAGCTGCATATCGGCTTATAACACTAGTCATCACCAGCCATTTTATTTGGTCACATGTAGTGATTTGCAAATCGGGCGTTACTTTTGATGGCTACTGTACGTACGTACGGTGCAAGAAATTTAAAAACTTCAATCTCCCTATATAGAAATAATGCATAAACAAGTGACATATTGAAAATACATTTCATTATCGATTTAAATAAATTTCTTAAATTATCGATCAAAATAAATTTCTTAAATAATAGATCTAAATAAATTTCTTAAATTATCGATCGAAAAAATGGTTTCTTAAATAATAGATCTAAATAAATTTTTTAAATTATCGATCGAAAAAATGGTCTAGAATTTCTTTGCATAGCCAAAGAATAATAATATGTACTTAAGAGTAACTATTATCTGCATACTGAAATAAGCCGCTATTAAGAATGTCATATTTAGATCACTTCCCATGAGTTAATTGACCTTTATTCTATGTAAAGTGATTGTGGTTTTTAAATTTCCCGCACCGTACGTACGTACTGTTATTAGAATTTTACATAAAGTTTATATAGCAAACTTTGAACAAAATTAATTTTCATATGGTGCTAGAAGCCTATACTTGAAATGTTTCAATCAATTTTTTAAATCATAACTTTTTATACAAGAGGTTTTTCAAAAACTGACGGGTAATTTTATAAAGCAATACTAGTTCTATAAATTTGCCAAATATTTTTTTGAAAAACCTATATAAAAAATTGATGCGTTTTAAAGATTACTATTATTTTATATATAATTACTATAAGGTTAGGTTCCAATTTAAACGATCTTTAAAGTGCTATAATTTTTTATAAAAGCAGAACTAACTGGTAACTTTTTCATAAATATTGCGTTTTAGAAGTTATACTATTTTTATTGTCTTCTAGCACCATAATTAGTACAATAGCGAAACGGAATAAAAAAATTCTCAAAATTTTAAGAGCGCGCAGAAATATGATGACACATTTCTAGGACATTTCCAGCAGAACTAATACAAATAATCATCAGTTGGTCTCACCATTAACATTAAAAAAAAATAAAATAATCATCAGCTATCTATGATGCAAAAATGACTTAATAATAATGTAATCAATGAATCTTGACCCAAATGTAAATAATAAAAGGAATCAGAATTTTATTGCTCTTCTAAAGGTTTTTTTTTTAAAAAATTATTTAAAAGATGTCACAACAATATTATCATCATATGCCAGAACCAATACATTACCCTCCTCCTCCAACTCAACCTAATTCGATCTATCCATACACGCATACTGGTTCAGGAAAAACATCAACCTACTATGATGATAGTGAAAGACCACCATATGAACCTCAAAATACATCTTACATGCCACCACAAGTTAGTTATCCCCCACCTCCAAGTTTTGAACAAGCTGTGAATAGTGGTAGCGATGACGCTCATATAAAATTTAATCCAAAGCCAAAATATCAAGATTTATGTAAATTAAAATCAAGCTTATATATGTTTTATTCTTTTATTATTTGAAAATAATGCTTAATCTGCTTACGACAGGGGCCGCGGTCTTATTTATATTAAATCTTCTGGCATTCATCGTTATATCAGCAGTTTCTCTAAACAATTACGCGATCATACAACGTCGAACTCGTACGCCCATTGAAAGTATAACTTTGAATTGGAGTACCATTTGGCTTTTAATGTTTTGTGTTGGAATTGGATTCGCGCTAAGTACAGGTTACTTGGCATTAGCACATAGGTACTATATTCTTTTGCTTTGCACTTTTACTTTTGATTAATTTATTGATACACATCTTTACGTTGAAATTTTACGTTGAAACAGATATCCAAAACAATTTATCAAATTTACATTTTTCGTCTCCATCGCGATGTACTGGTGTTTGTCCATTTATTACTTTATTGTTAAATACTATAGTCTTGCTATCTTGTTTTCTATCGTTGCTATTTTCTATACAATATTTTGGTTTGGGTAAGATTTCATAATTGTTATATATATATTGTACGTATATTTATTATTAAGATTATTTGAATTTACAAATTTACATTATAGGTGGAAACCAATGATTCCATTTTCTTCTATCATGCTGCAGACCATAACAAATATCACAAATAGATACAAAGCAATGGTTCTAGTAGCTTTCTTGGGATTAATCGTGCACACGTCGTATACGATGTGGTGGATTTTTACTTTCATTGGTAAATGTCTTAAATTCTACGTGTAGATATGAAACAAATGCGTCAATTTTTTTTTTTTTTTTTTTAGCGGTATATCAAGTCTGGTATCCAACTGCGTGTAAGCAAACACACAGAACGCCATCATCAAATCCAAATTGTCAAAACGGTCAATTTATAGCCATTGTCGTATTCTTATTATTTACGTAAGTACGTTTAAAGTCTAACGTTAAATTTCAAGTTAAAATAATTGACGTTATTTTATTAGATACTACTGGGTGTCTCAAGTTATTCAAACTTTTATTCATGTCACAACTTCTGGCGTATTTGCTTCCTACTATTTTCTTGAGGGAACTCCTCAAGGCGTTCCATCTTCACCTACCTTGAAAAGTGCAAAAAGGGCAGCGACTACTAGCTTTGGGAGTATTTGCTTTGGAAGTTTGTTAGTTGCCATATTACAAGTTATTCGTGAACTTTTGAGATCTCTGGCTCAGGACACCGATAATCCATTAGGTAATAATAATACATCACATATTTTATTTAATTATAAAATCTCAATATTAAATAAATTTCATAAATTAGGCGCGTTCTGTGTCGCTTGTGCAGCCGTATTAGTTGGTTGTGTCGATGCGTTATTAGTAAGTTGTTTATAATTTAGATTTACATTTATTTTATAAATGGTTTATAAATGTTCTGTATTATTTAGGAATTTTTCAATTTTTACGCATATACGCAAGTGGCGATTTACGGAAAGTCATTCTGTGATTCGGTAAATATATCGTGGAAAATTATTGTGGCAGCTGAAGTTGAAACCTATTTTGTTATAAAAAAATTTTTTTTTAGGGTTTGGATTAGGATTTGGAATAAAATTGATACATTAAATAAAGTTCTCAAAATTCAGCTGTCACAGTTATTTTCACAAAACGAATATTAACCATTGATTATATTTATTAAATTGTAATTAAAAATTTCTGTACATTCTGTACATATTAAAGGCAAAGGTATGCATGATAACTATAATGTTTCGTGGATAAGCAAGTTATAAACCTATTCTTCACAAACACAATAGGATACTTGGACTATGATTCAGGATCGCGGCGTTGAGGCCATTATTAACGATAACCTTATCGGCACTGTAATTATAATGGGTATTGCACTGCTATATTGCGTTTATAGTATTCAGTTGACACTCTCTCTAAGTGCAAGAACCTGCATTTAAATAGATATTACATTTAGAGAGGACAAATATATTTACCTCGATATTTTTGTGACTACAATTTAGAGTATTTATTAAGACCTTTGCTTGAAAATGCATTTACAGAGAGCCGACTGTATATGTAACCCGTTTCCTCGATTGAAATCATCTACTAAATAAATTTAATTTCTATCCAAGGTTCATTTCTAGTTGGAATGGTCGCCGCTCTATTTGGATATCTTTACACGATCATCTTTCATCCCAATTTCAATGTCGGCGGAGGATTTACTCCACTTATAGTATTTCTGTCATTCATTATTGGATTCCAAATGCTATCAATTATAGGATCAGTGATTTTTAGTGGATCTGCTACAACATTCGTCTGTTTAGCCGAGAATCCGGATGCGTTAGCCAGAATCAAGCCCGATTTATATAATGCGGTAAGTTAGTCGACAAAATCATGTAACCGAATCTCTCAGAAAACCAATTAATAATTATGAAATTTAATAATAGATTATTAGGACCTATCCGGCTTTTGCTCAAGGAATTCGAGTATAATTCCTTTTATTACGTAGATGTTACCAGGTAAAAGTCCATAGAATTTCTTGGATTATATTTACGCGCAACATTAATAGTTAAGTTGTACAATTAGAAAATTTCAATACGTGTATTGATTAAAATTTGTGATATCTTAATGATTATCTCTAAAAATTTTTATAAACCTAAATTTATTTAATCCATATTTGGTAAACACTTCTATAAAATAGTTTTTTTCGGGCCTTCGTGATTGTCTTAAACGATGATGCCTAATTAATTCAAATATATATATATTCAATAAATAAATCAAATCAAATAATAGCAATTAAGATAAATAAAACGCACTGACATTTTATCTTCTTGCGTAAAACGTCTATTATAGACCTTGCGAATATGTGAATGATTCTTGATAAGGTGAATACTTCGATCACCCTTACATATAAAGCGTTGTTTAAATCTATGCTCTTTGCAATTATATGATACTAAAGAAATTTCTTTTCGACTAAAAATGGATACTTGATTCTTCAATTCCTTTTTAGCTCTAAACTTTCGTCCACATCCGTTTTCTTCATGTATATGACGTGTTAAATCGAAACTATTTAGGTGTCTAGTGGTAAATTCCTCATTTTCACACCTTTGTTCATCATATATAGTTGGTTGAAAACGATTTAAATAGATTCTTAAAACATTCTTAGATGAGAAATCATGTTCGTATTTCTGCCCTTCAAAAATTAAGTGCCTATTATCATCATCCTGTGAAGACTTTGAATGATTGCGGACATTGTATCCATTTGAATAACTTCCCGAAGTGAAAAATTCTTCATCACAAATAAATGGTTGCGTGATATTTAGGTTATTTCTATGGTTATTTTTCGCCGAAAAATTTATTTTACTTTGTTGTCTATTGTAGGAATCATTCTTTCTATCATGTCTTTTATATTTACTGTTCTCCAGCCTTTTATATGAATCTAATTCATTCGCGTCTATATTCGCCATGTTGGAACGGTATTGTCGTTTCGGATCCGTGTTCTCCTCCGATTGTTGCTGAGGTATCACATTTCGATTCATTACAGGATCATATTGTGAAAGCAAATGATTTCGTAGATCCTCTTCGCAAGCAAAGGCTTCATGACAGCCAGGATTCATACAAAAGAATTGATCTGAATTTTCTATTTGTGTGAAATTTTCATTTTCATAGGATTTGTCATAGATCGTGGATAATGTTGAAAATTTATTGTTCATTAATCCATTCGGTAATGACTTAAAGATATCATTGTCTTCCGATCGTGGGGCATTTTGCAATTCAGATATTGAAATGTTAATCTTTATTTATGCGGTCTTGAGCGACATTAGAATCTGACTCACCTTGGAAATCATCAAAATCTTGTCCTAAATTATATATATTGAAATAGTTTAATTTTATAATAAATTCACTCTTAATGTCACAAACGTCATTAGCTTAACATATAACTAACCTAGAAAATCTTCAAAATCTCGATCTAAATCAATTTGCGGTGATTCACTGTTGTCAGATGAATCAGATGTCACGCTTTGATCGCTATTCACACACTCTTCACTTGATATAGAATATATATCCGCCTTGTCACTTTCTACTATAAATTAGTCGACAATTCACCGCCATTAATTTTACCGTTTTTATTTTCAAATATAATATTAGAATTATAAAAAATAACCCAAGAAAAATTTCCTGCATACGTACCTAATTTGCTTGAGTGAGAAACTCTTGAATAAGGAATAGGCTTTTCAATTAGCTCATCTTCGGAGCCTTTTAATAAATTCGCATTTTAATTACACCTTCCAGTTACATAACGACAATAATAATCAAACGCACACTTACTGGACTCTGCTTCCGAATAAATAAATTCGAAAGGAATTCTTCCTTTTAAGTTCTTACGCATGTTGGTAGTAGCAAACGTAAACTATCTCCATGTGTATTTCCAGAAAAGGGTTATAACTTATTACACAACGTCCCAAGATATAAGGCAAGCTATTTGATTGGTCATTGTTTCACGATTGTCACGATTGTCAGGAGTTGTAAAACTCAACTCGGTCACAGGACCTTTAGTTTTTGCTAAATTACAAAAAAAGTTTATATATAATTCTGTAATTTTAAAGTTTAAAAAGAGGTTTTACTAACATATTTGGAATTTTAGATATGAACTAGTGAATAATTTTAAAAAAAGCATAACAAGAAAGAAATAAAAAAAAAAGCTGAAGACTATACGGAACTTAATTCATGAGACCGTCCATATTACCAAATTATATTTAGGGCCTTAAAAAGCTTGCCGAAGCTGATCCTTGAGTCGTTTTCACTCGAATACTTTGAGATCGAATCCAAGCCTGTTTGGACAACGTTCAAATGTAGGAAATACCGTTTGTTCCGAACATGATCAATAAGACATTCAGGTTATATCTGACATTATAGATAAACCACATATTATTACATTCTTAAGAACCAAATCCCGATCAAAGTCTCTATTTAAGGAATGGAATAAAAAAACCACCGTTTGACGCTTACTTTCAAACGGCGACTTTCC